TTGCTCGGGGCGGACGGTTGTCTCAACCTCATTGGTGGAAGAGCTGAGTGGAGTGTGGCCAAACGCCTTCTCGAAGCTCATCCCGGCCCTAGCAATCGTGCCCTTTGCCTTCAGAGTTTGTTGTCCTGAGGTTCATTGGCTCAGTTCAGGTTAGCGGTAGCGGTGAAGTTCGTAGAGATGTCAATGACGATGATGGCGCTGGTCATAACGGTACTGTATTTCATTTAATGAGTTTTGTATTCCATTATAAGATCCCATACTTCTAGATTCTGCTGGCGAATCGCGTGACAGCGGCAGCGGCATGCCAGTGTCATCGTCAGACGGAAGACGCAAACGTTCTGCAACTAATGAATCGTCAAGCTGTGAATCGAAACGCCATCGTGACAGTCCAAGCGAGGTCGTCACCAGCAGCGAAGAGCGGCGGGATCTTGGTATGGAATTGTTAACTTCTCGTATAACTGCAGACTGGGCCGCCGATGATTGATTTTACGGAACAAAGGAACATGGTCGAATTGCAGGGTTCGAATTAAACTCGGAACAAAGAAATTTTCCGCCGTTCCGCAGTGTCGTCATTTGACGCATTAGGTATTAGAGGTGCTTTTCGCGCTGGTCGTATGGATGGAGTCAGTCACCGTCACGCACCCTCCTTGTCGGTCTTCAAAGGGCGCAGCATTGAGAAGAGTAAATGGTGTGACTGACTCCGCAATTAATGGTGTGGAATGTGCCTTTAAAGTTTCACTATTGGGGAGGAATCTATTTGGAGGCGCCTCAGTGGCCATGGATAGAATTTTGGCGCCGCCGCTGATTTGCTTAGAGTGCCGCGAACACGATCACGATGAGGTAGCTTTGATGGGAACCTGCCACATGTAGAGAATTAGAAGATATTCGATACGCTCCCTGCAGACTGAACGCGAACTTAAAGGCAGTGCGCAGATTCGTGTGGACGGGCAGTTGTCGCCAGCGTCTTTGGTGGAAAGGCTGAGTGGGGTGTGCCCTTCCGCAGCCCTTCCACCAATGACACTAGCAACAACCGAATGCCTCCTGTAATCGTGCCCACTGTAACTTTGTTTTTTCTTGGGGGGGGCACAGTTTTTTTTCTTGGGGGGGGGGCACAGTTTGACCCTGTTTTTTTTCACGACTACTTTGAAGTTTGGATCAAAACCCCTGTTTGGCTGGAGGCTAGGTTGTCCAGATAGTTTTACCTTTCGAGTCAGAGCGTCACATTTGCTTGGTGCAAGGGCGCCTCGTGCCTGCGCCAGAACTCCTCAGATCACCGAAATTGCTGAATTTCCTCGGCTCTTTCTTTTTTAGCAAAGAGTTTCCGAACATTCATCATGCAATAATACTTTGTGAACTGTTTTCAGATGTGATCCCTGAAAGTGGAATGGTAGCCGCTGCTGATATGGAAGTAATGGATGTTCCAGATGACGCTGAAGGGGACGAAGACATTGAAGTCCTCGAAGAGGGACAGGAAGACTCGGTACAACATGTATGTTGTGATATGTGGTGTGCAGATAGGAAGGCTGCCTCGGAACACAGTCCTAGAAAGAAATTTTTCAGAGGGGGTTATATGAAGGTCCAAAAGGGAGAAGGAGGCATTTCCAATGAGATGTTTTGCGGTCAAGAGGGAAGCTGCATGGAAATGAGTTAATTCCGAGCTAATCGAAAGCAGAGGTGGTTACTTACCGGTGATGGGAAGAAGTGGGTAAGGCTGACCCTTGGAAGCATGGTCGTAGATGCTGTATGCTCATATAAGTGTTCGTTGTGCACTAGAAGTGCAGTCAAGATCACTGCAAGCGATAGGCTACACGACGCCGCGCGGATTGCGGCGCGGTCAGGGCATCCCTTTTTCAGTGTGCTATACCCGATCAGCTGATAGGAAATCTGATCTGGCTCCGCTCCAAGTCGTGACCCTCCCCTCCCCCCTTCGTCACAAGGGCTCGTGTACCAGTGGTTGCACCGGAAATAATGTGCGCCCAGACGCGGATCGGGGGATCCATGTAGAGGCAGCGTTGCGATTACAGCGTTGCAAGTGGTGTCATTCGCGCGGCATTCACACCAGGACCTACTTTATTCAGCGGCGAGGATGCTACATGTCGGGTCATCTACTGTAGCTAGGAGGCTCCGCCACTGACGAATTCTGAATGTCGCCGCACCTAGAATAGACCTAAATAAACCTAAAACAGACTTTAACCGACCCTAAATTATTCCCCCTTACTTCAATGAGTTTTCTAAGAGCTCTTTTTTGATAATCCACTTTTTTCAACATATGCCTTCTTGAGAGAATAGTAGCTTTACTCTAGTCATCCGGTTCCTCCTCTTGGAAATTAGCAATATTTTACTGTTCTTTTTAAGGTCTGAGGAATAAGTTTGACTCTTTTTCCAAGTGTTACCATGCAATTTTCTGGAACTTTGGTTTCAATATCCCTTCTTGATCCACATAAGTGAAATCGTTAGTTGCAGATTGAGCTTTTATCTGATGAAGACGTATCCGAGCAGTCGATGGACGATTTTGATGAGGATGAAGGTTGGTGGGGCTTTGTTGAGGAATTCAACAGGCTAATTCAGTTTTCATACATTTAAATGTTTTCGATACTGAATCGGCAAGCGGTGTTGCAGATGACGGTGGAATGGAGTCAGACGAAGAAATAGACAATGGCGATTCTGCTGATGTCGTAGTGGGTTTTCTAGAAAGGTTCTGAAAACTTCATGCAATAGTTATGGTAAATTAGGTACTGTCCGACGGAGAAGACGATGCTGAGATTGGTGAAGTGGAGATGGAAGACGATCATGGTGATGATGAACTTGACGATGGTGATGGACTGGTTGTGGGTCAGGATGATGAAGCGCTAGCTGCTGATGGTGTGTTTTGAAGGCTTTTTGTCGTATTTGTCTTCTTCTTTCATATTCTCGCCCACCTGTCATCGCATTACACTTGCGCAGTTTTCGACATCACTTTTTTTCAGCAGAGCAGGAATTTCCGTTCTTTTGTAATCCTTTAATCACTACCGGACTCGTCAATCAGGGTAAAACCTTTGAGTGGGCAACGGGAGTCCGGCTGTCAGGTTTAACACGCATTAAAATTCCTATTTTCTTTACCATCCTCAACGGGAATGTAGTCAGAGTACAGCGTCAGGCAGGGCACGCCATCGTTGTGATGATCACAACGGGGGGGGGTCGTATTTGGTCTGAGAAAAATTTTTTTGGTAGTTGATTTCTCTTGTTTCACGGGTGGTATAAAGGGGGGAGGGAGATGGTGGTGTATTTGGCCGTTAGTGAGAGAAGGACTGCCAAAGATCTATATAATTACTACCGACAGTTGAAAATGATAGGTAAATCCTGACGACCTCCCTTCCGCCCCCGCTCGACGGAAAATTCTTGGCTGAAAAACTGGAAATTTGGGAAAAAGTGGTAGGAAGTTGGGAAAATCTAGGAAAGTGGTAGGTAGCATGGGGGGGGGGTCGTATTTTTCAGGAAATTGACAACGCGATGGCGTGCTCTGGCGTCGGGACAATCCGGGGGAGATCGCACTTGGTCGCTAAAGATCGTACTTGCTTATGAGAGGGGCCTCTACTTGCATTTAGAATTTTTTCGAGCCCCGTATATGCCAACGTCCTGGTATTTATAATGGTTGGGATTGTTAATGGGTTGATGGTGACTCGCCAGGTTTTTGGGGAAGAACGCGGGATAACTTTTGAAAAATAGGGAAATAGCCGGGAAGTAGAGAACACTTGGGAAGACGCAGGAGAGATAAGGACAAGGGGGTTCGTGGCAGGTGAAGAATGGGGGAGGGGGAGGGGTCGTACTGACGTCGCCATCTCACTCATCACGATACTGTCACCCTGGTCGGCCACATCATCCACTGCTCCTTATATTTGTTTCCCATCCCCCCGCCGTCGGCTTCGCCCGAACAAATTTTTGAGTGAATTGGGTTGGTCGGTTGTTTAATCGTACCGAGGAGGAAGAGTTTAGAGTTTGGCTCATGAGCTAGCGAAAATTTGTCAGGCCAAGCGTGGGCCTACTCAATGACGCATTATGAAATCATACTATCTCGACAAGAGGGAGCAGAGACGAACAGCTACGGCGTCCATGTGGCCCGTAATGGCGGTGTCAAATGATGGTCAGTGCAATAGAATGTGAGCTATCACAAGTCTCTACTTCATTACCTTTATTTTAACGGCGAGAATGATTCTTGCAGCGCTGCAAGACCCGTTTATAGAACAATAATCACATACGCTTTTTTTTTCGATTGTTTGACCGTATTTTCTTCGGCCAGCTCCTTTCACATTCACCCGCGCTAGGATTTTTTTTCCGAATTATGATGAATTCTATTGCATGAGCAATTCACATTGATGCCACACTGCTCATTCCTGGTGAACTTTGTTGATGACGAAGATCGCGAAGCGGCATCGGCTGTAGAAGAAGCTGACGATGAAGGCAGGAACGGACACTGGTGGCAGTTCAACCGCTGGAAGTTCTTCGGCTCTTCGTCATACCACCACGTCGTCGCTAACAACATCCAGTGCCGGTGGATCTTCTGCACCGCAGACTGCTAGACTGCGGATTCCGATTGTATATGGCGCCGAAGATCAATGCTCGAGCAGGTAATACCCTAGTCCTTGACTCCCTGATTAATTTGGGCTAAATTGTAGATTACAGTAATGAAAGCGGAGCGGCTCAATTTGCTGCACGACGTCGTCGTCCCATTGGACTCTATCAGCCAGGTATTCGCCATGTAGGGCCCAGCAGTGCTCATCAGGATATTCCAGCGGAAAGATTGACCGCTAGGATGAGAGGAAGAGCTCGTGCTGCTCTTCGTGGCCGAGGAAAAGGGCGAGGGGCCAAGCACTGAAATCAGCACATTGAACATCTGGTAAAAGAAAATTGATTCGAGTAATTACTTAAAACTGCGTATTTACTCCACAGTGCATCGTTTTGCGTAGCCGATTTGTTCCTGTTATTATTGCTGTGCAGTTGTTGTTTTCTCGGCGCAGTTCAGCTTGGTGGGGGTACCAAATGGGGAGCCTATACAGGTCACCTTGTGAATGCATGTAAATTCTTGTCACCGGAATGACTCACTTGTACCATTTCGCTCCATTAAAACTCCATTAAATTGTACAGGTGCACACGTTTCACCAAATTACAACAAGTGCAAAATGCCCCTCCCAAGCCAGACAGCGCTGCGTTTTCTTTCTTGAAGAACATTCGAATCTTAGCATGCCGCCCTCACTAACTTCATAACTGGTAAGAAAACTTGTAGGCGAGCTTGCTTGTCTTTTTTTCTCGTCGCGGATTGTACTCGGTTGTTATGACCCATGCTGGTTTATCACTTGCATGTTCGGTTCCGTGCGCAGAGCAATTCCTGTTTTCCTATTTTTCATTTTATAATTTATTTTATTTGTCATTTGATTTTCTGTAGGGGTAGATTTTGCTGGTAAATGAACTGTTCAATAAAAAGCTGACTAATTCAGTCAAGAAACAGTTGAACAATTTACAACGTCAAGCAGTTTGTCTGTTTGGAGCCAATCAGTGCAACCATGGTCGTCGAAAATTCTACCAGCTGCTTATGTAAACCATACCTGTTGATTACCGCCAAGAGTACTTGCCCCCTCCTAGTGCTGAGTCTGACACTAGCTGCTGATACAAGAAGGGATCGAACAAACACGCACATGATGTGCGACTGAACTATAATTCAGGAAGTTAGGGTGCATACCGTAATGCCGAAAACTGTGCGCGAAATTAATTGTGAGGGTCGTGGGTGTACAGAAGGGGTTGCGGAGGCACATTCTATCCATATCAGCGTGTGGATCACGGTGGTCTTCTGCCGAGGCCAGACAGGTCATTACCTGGGTCCTCGCCCCCTCCACGCGGACGAAGCGCGCGCTAAATATGGAAGGAAACTAGAGGACGTTGACGGAGTATAATGGGTTCTACACGTAATCGGCCAAATGAACCCCTGCCTGGCTGGGGCGACGATATGAGAGAAAGAGCTGCTGCTACTTGACGGGACCAGCTTGATTAGCATATGAAGCAAGTAACGGTCGGACTACTGCCACATGTAAACTAAGCTGGTACAATTTACTGGTCACCCCAAAAGGGATAGGCAGCTATGGATAGGAGGCAGCAGAATGCTCCCCATGAAGCCCAGCGGCAGCGCAATTCGGTAAGATGGTACGTAAGCTGGGAGAGAAGAGAAAAGGAAACTTTTAGGGAGGGGGAGGGAGTCAAACCGCAGTTTCGCCTCTCCGGATCAACTCGGGTTCGAGCAACTCTGTCCGAACGCATCTAGTTCTATCTTTATGCTCCACACCCAACGAAAACCCTCCGCACCCAACGAAAACTTCAAACTGCATGGCACACTCAGAATGTCGACCTCTTGCATCTAATGATCCCTGCAAACGACAGGGCATTTGAGAGGGCGTGAGTCGCAGCCAGAATAACCCTTCATGCCAATTCCTACGTACTGTATGACATCGTTGATGAAGGACTGCCTTAGCAGCGCTCCAATCCATCCCCATCACAAGCCTATTGTTTGCGAGGATTGTGCATCTGTAAAGCAAGTGTGTAGTCCTTTCGAATGCAGTCCGAAATAGCTACGCTTCACTAGACAACAGCTGACCGCAGTAGTGATCAATCACTGAAAGATTTGCTCACTTTCACAATGGGCTATGTCTAACCGGTACGCTAAGATAGTGAGTGTGCAATAGCCAATAGTATTAGGTTGTTGCATAAGTTTTTTCCCCTGTTTTGATCCCTCCGTATTTCGTTTGCATGGAGGTTGGTATTTCGTCATCACGTGTGCGTGACCTGAACATGATACTTTTTTACCCTATATCACTCACCCACCCTGCATTTGCAGGCTACAATGCCGCACAATTACCAGTGCAAAACCATGTCACAGTGGTGATTGTGCGGCATTGTGGCCTTCTTCGGGTCCCAGCCCCCGTCCTTCTGGGACGATGGAATCGACAAGCTGCCTGAGCGTTGGCGTTGATGGTGCATATCTCTAATCTTCAGGCTGGATTCGCTATTGAGATATTTACAACAAGTCGGGGAAAAGAACTTATGCAACAACCTAATAAAAACATGCTCTTTATCAACCAGCGACTTGTAACTGTCAGAAAATGAATTGCTGGATGACTTTCAGAAAATCACTCGCTCCAATCTTCTCTCTAAGATTTACAGCATTTTTGGGATCGATTTAAGTGACGCTTGGTGTATAGTGCATTTCGGATACATGGCGCAGCTCCAGGCTTTATTAGCCGCCCGGACCGTTCGACGAGCTCGATGGATGTTGTAGTCAATGTCTTAGCACGTTGGGGTGGCACTTCAAAGGAGCACTTCGATGAGGACCAGGGTCAAGAACCTAGCTTTTACTGACTGTGGATGCCTGTTCATTTTCTATTAGTTTCCGTGAGGTTGAAAGAAAGTTGAGTGTATGGGACGTCCCAAGAAAGGATTTGTTCACGTTGCCTTTCCTCACCTTTTACCACCGCGCTGAAATAGATGAACAATTTGAATTCTTCAAACTATCTGACCTTCGAAGATTTTCTAAATAAGCAGCTTACAGACTTCACGATGACGCACGTCATCGCGAAGTCTGAACGCTGCCTGAGGAAGCAACATTGGACTAATGCTCGAAGAAAAGCTACGCTGGTGGGAAACCAGCTACTAAGGACGAGAAAATAAGAAGCGAAACAAAAAGGTCGCTCCTACACAGTATGGAAGCAATACATATACATTTATAAATATTATATATGGATATGACACAGCTCCACAAAAGGTTAGGGCAACTATGAGAACTCAGGTCCTTCGGCTAATGGAGGAAATAACACTCTCATCACTCTCTGTCGAGCAGTGAAGCAGTGAACCTCTGGGTTTGCGCGTTGGACAACAATTACAATGAAGGGATTCTACCTCTCAGGTAAAGTCGCCAAAATCGTCTGAACTCCCTAGAAACCGAAGTCATCCTCTCATGTACGAGCTTAGGTTTCTGACCACCAGAAGCCGAAAACCCAGGAAACCCGTCACAAGCTGAAGCGCAATGCTTCTAGTACGTGTCATTGAAGAAGTTTTATCTTTTAACTGTCAAGTTCCGAGTACGCTCTCTAGTGATTAAAAAAAAGAGCAGCTCCCAGGACACCATTTAGCACGCTGTTGACTGCACCATGTGTGGTCAAACGAAGGCGAATCGTCTTTCTTGATTTATTTAGCTTTTTATGTTTGAAGCTGTCAGCTGTGGCCCGCGAGGAGCTTTAGAATATCAAAGAGTGCAATTCGATTTCTGCAGCGACATTCCTTGCATCATCATTCATTTGAAAGCCAATCACTTTTTCAGATTGCGCTTTATTAGTCAAATCAGAAGTGACCGGAACCTGCGGGAAATGCGGATCCAACTCATTCGTTCTTAAAAGGTGCTAAAAAAGAAAAGGGACGAGAAATGAAACAAATTGATAGCTTTCCACTAAACGGCTCCTTAATCGAAGCGAGAAAAACAGAAGCTGATGACATGAATGTTCGAAATCGTAGCCAAGGATAATGACTTTCCTCGAGTCGCGTTAAGTATTACCGAACAAGGTCTAGTTATATTCGAATCAGCCAGGTCTATGCACTCCGACTAAAAAGCACTGCTTGTTACCTTGTGGTAGGTTGAACAACAATTTTTCGACCATTTTTCAGTTTTATTTAATTGTTTATTTATTCAATGCAAGTGTAAGTGAACTGCTACAATTATTAAGCTGATTCAATCCAACGTAAAGCAAAGGTTCTTGAAGTTGTTTGTTATGATAACTGCTGTTTTACGCCGCAGTTCGCGTTCCGAAAGTTATCACAAGAATGCTGAGTTATGGGCAAAAGTCGTGCCCCAGGCGGGAGTCGAACCCGCACCTCACGCTTTCCGGGCGAGTGCTATCCGTTACGCCACCACTTGGCCGGCTCACCATTCAAACGTTTGAGTTCTGTAAGGCTACGGCATAAAAGCCGTTGAGCTGAGAGGGTAAGAGCGGCCCTGGTGGGGCATAGGATACCTTATAGCGCACTCGGATGCGGGTTCGACTCCTGCCTAGGGGTTCGACTTTTGCCCATAGCTCAGCTTTCTTTTGGTAAAACAAAGGCTTATCCAAAGGCAAGTTACTACAACACAGAATCCCTGAAATGGTAGGGAAAGTCTCCGGTCACGTCGTACGTTGGGTATTCATCAGCGAGAGGGGGGGGGAGGGTCGTATTTTGCCTCAGGAAAATTTTCTTGATGATTTAATGATTTTTTTGGCTTTATAGGCGCTATTCATATCGCTAGCAGAATTCTAAGGGGGATCATATTTGCTTGTCATTAGAGGAAAACCTATGAAACTGCTAAAGTGATAAGTAGAATGGGGGAGCGGGGTCGCG